TGCTACCGCTACCAGAGCCGTATTCGGCATCTCTACTTCACTCCCCCGCATTCCAAATATGGTCACTTCCGTTCACTGGTTGCAAAAAGCCAAGATGGCGATGACCGTAATTCAGGCTGGTGATGGGAAAAACGTCAAACTAAAGGCTTTAAAACAGCAGTTTAAAAAAATAAAAAATGCTTGACGTCCCGACGAAAACGTCCACTTCTTATATACAGTCTATGGGACGGACTCGGTAATAACTAACAGTTATATTTCCTCCATTATCTCAAGAAGTGCATTTTCCTTCTACCATTTTGTACAACACAATATTCATAGGCTTTCTACCATGGCTCAGACCGTGGTTGACAGGAATCCAATTGTTCTCAGTAAGGTAAAGGCACACAGAGATCCCTCTCAAGTCAGCCCTCAATTCCGCTGTTTTGAGCACATTCCGCTCGTAGTTGTCTGTGGCTGCCCGAGCTAAAAGAGGGCACGTCCCTGGAGTTTCATCCGGGTGATTGTCAGGGTATTGGATTTGGCCGTCCCCAGCCTCATTTGCTCTCCCCCTACCTATCAGAGAGCTGCTTATCCCATGACAGGGGGAGGCAGGCATGGAGCTTAGCGTGAAGCAGTTCACGGATCAAAGCGGTGAGATAAAGTCTACCACCAGGCGGGATGCGGGATCACCAGGCGGGATGCCCCCCGCCCCTGGATAGAGAATCCAGGGGCGGGGGGCGGTTTGTGATGTGATCAAGGTGAGTCTACAAAAGACTGTCAAAGGGCTTTTTGACCACTGAGGTCACAGCGAAAGGCCTGAAGTCATTAAGGCCTTTGATGCAGAGTCTTCCGCGGATAGGACTACCACAGTTGAGAGCAACTAATTAAAGGTTCCATCATTAGTGTTCGTGCTCTAACAACCAAATGTGCCACAGGTACACTACAATAAGTGTTGTGTCACCAGACAGCCTCTCAAATCTAAGAGCGGAGTTGCATTCACGTGCCTGCACAAAAAAGGAAGAATCAATAAACAATTACCAGTGCTGATTTATGCTGCCGTTTGCGTGGAAACTGTGAGAAAAACAACGAAGAATTTTCAAGGAAATGGTAGATCTTAGAGGCATTGCAACATAGATTGTGAAAACAGTGGGTAAGGGAATTTTGTAAGAGCTGGTCGACGTTCCAGCTGAGCTGGAGTCCATTATAAAATAACACTCGTAAATCTAAATGGAATGAATCATGATAAAGTAGTCTTTCACTCAGGCCTCCTGCCCACACCTCTGACGTTGACAGTCCTGAATTCATTTGAAAACTCTAACATTTATAGAACCTTCGTAAAGGGAATAGGAAAAACAGCAGGGCACTGTGACCTGCTAAATTTCCTATTACTTCACTATCAGAGATCACTCCCTGTTCCCCCGCACTCCTAATTCAAATCACACAATGTAATTGTGTCCAACAGTCGCTGCTGAGTGCGCTGACTTCGTGTGCAATGTTGCACTGCTTTAAAGTGCGTCAGCAAAGCGCCTCTTCTCCGTCTCCATAACAGTCGATGCATGCAAACAAAGTTCCCACTGGTGGTCCAACACGTTCTCATCCCAACTCGTCACAACCAGGTGCTTTGTGAGACATATTGGCATCACTTTCTAGCACACCGGGTAGCCCAGCACGTCAAACTATTACACCCCGCTATGGTCGCAATAAACACATGGTTGGGGAAAAAAACACTTGCTAACGTTTAGGCAACAGCACCACCTAGACATGATTGGGCTTGAAATAAGTACATAAACAAAGAAAGACGTAACATCATTTGGGAAACACATAACTTTTGAATAAATAAGCAACACATTGGGACACAAACACCGCTCCTGGGTGAAAGTACTGTGTTTGTGTGCGTTAATGCATAAACAAATAAACAAGTGGCGTTAAAACCAATTTACGCTAACATGTTATTATCGTGTTTACTTTGATAACCCTGCCTGTTTGAAAACTTGATCAATTATTAAAGCACATGTATGGTTGCTCATAATTAAAGGATAAGACATTCTACTTTTTTTTGTCAACAAATTCCAATGAAAGACCAAAACCAACCATGAATTCATCCTACTAACAAGTATCACCTGCATCGTCAAAGTCTGTAATAGAGCAATTCTTCTGGGAATGTCACCACAGGCACCCAGTTAGTAATATTGCAAATATATAAATATTGCAATACTACTGATCAGTGGACCGAATGGCTCCATCGCCACTGAGTTACCTCCTTCAGATATAGATAGCAACCTAACAGACATTTATTTAAAGGAACATCTTCAAGATGGCCACTTCAAAAGGATAAGGTTGGCAGTGTTCTGTTTATCTTATTGTCACTGAATCCACTGTACCAGCTTGTCTCTCTGTACTTTCTGAGTCAGCCACAAGCCCATTGGATTCTTACTAAAGCTGTAAATCAGGTCAAAAATACATAGTACTAACCTTAGCAACAACATTACACACATAACTTTATTTGTGCATTTGTTGGGAACTATTTTCAGCTGCAGATTAAATGAGGGACTGACTCAAAATAAATGACTGTGTCCATGTTCATCATAATAAAGGAACATGTCACAGTGTGGCTCATTGATAGAATTTGGAACGATAGAACGATGGAGGCACAGAGGCAAACAATATATCGGTTTTTCTCCATTGTGTTTTCACACAACAAATAGGGCTACACACACAATTCTTAAAAAAATGGCATGTTAGTGTGGAATTTTGGACGCAGACCAAGACTCAAACTCTCAGAATAAATCCTTTGTTTTCACTCAAAAATAAATTCTACATCAACCAGAAATCTTAAGGATTGCCACTTTAGGTTAGAACATAACTCTACTTGCATAACTGTTGGGATTCAACCCATGGTGTGGAAACCGGCATAATATTGCCTGATTGTCTGATTGCTAAATGGCTGGTCCTTTAGTCTATTGAACATTGAAGTGTGAAAGTTGTTTTCTTTTTACCAGCAGTTTGAAATCAGAGGACCCGAAAACTGGTAGACCATACGAAAGGGGGCTTGAGCTGCTCTTATTTGTGTTTTGTGCTACTCTAACCTGAACAAAAGAACAGATGAATGGATGGATGGAAATGCTTATAGCCGACATATGCCTTGAAAAAGCCTGAAGAAAGCTCACAAAAGATATCTGGCCAGCTTGATCCCTGATAATTCACTGGAACAGTTGCCAAATGCTATACGTATGTCAAGCGTGTCTTCATTTTCTCCACAGTTATCCTGGTGGGCCGTGGTGAAGCTGTGATCCTCTTTTGTGATGGAGCAAACAGGCTAAAAATGGATGTCAACCCAGGCTATGTTTCTCCAAAGAAGAACATCATGCCTTTTACTCCAACACACACACACACACATTTCACTTTTCATTCAATATGCAAATTGAAACCGCAGTTCATTTGCTGATGAAAGAGGATTCATGCTCAATTATGTCTTAATGGGTTGGATATAACGGCACGCTCAGGCCAACAGATTTATTTTAGATGATTTTTTTTCCCATTAGGTTAAATGTGACTTGAATTTTTCCAAAATCAACTGTAGTAAAAGTAAACTGAGCTTAACTCAGGCCATGGCTACATGCACATATACATCTCTCCTACAATAAAAAATAAAAAAGCGTGCGTGTAGGTCGAACGACAGAGGGCGTGGGTGCGCTTGGAGCAGACGCGTACTGATGTCTCCTGAATGCCAAGCACATCGACCCACACACACAAGCACAAACACACACACTCAAGTTGTTCCTGGTGCAGCTGAGAGAGCAGAGATGGAAAAGTGAGAGAGAGTGAGATAGAAGCACAGAGGGGAAAGTCAGAGCGAGAGAGAGAGAGAGAGAGAGAGAGAGAGAGAGAGAGAGAGAGAGAG